CCGTACCGCTCTTTCAATGCCTCCATAATCTTCAAAGAGTCTTCGTAATTTTCCTGGGCGATCTTGCTGTTGGCCCATCCATCCCATACATCGCCGGGACGCATCTTCGCCTTCATATACATGACCGCCTGGACGGCTTGCAGCTTCCGGGCCGCGTGTACAGTCCCATCCATTTCGGGGAAACACTTTGACCGGAGGAAGTCTGGGTGGGCAGTCGTGTCCCGAGCAACTCGTCGAAAGGCTGCTGCGTGGCTTCCGTTGTCCTCCTCTTGCAGCCAGTCTCCTGGCTCTACCCAGACCAAGTACAGCAGCAGTTTGGAGTAGTAGAAAGCTTCCGGTTCGAGGTCAGGACTGAAATTCCGGTAGGCGACGATCGCAGGTCGCCTTCGTGGCTGCGGCTCCCCACCGATGAACTTGAAGGCTGCGCAAAAATCCAGAAAGTTCACCTCCTTGAAAAGACAGCTCCTGAACTTGCCGCCCTCCACCGGAATCTCGACGGTCTCCTCCCCGAACCTGCGTTGCAGCTCCCGGTACCGCCTCTGGGCCACGGGCATGGAGTCCTCGAGGTACAGTTTCTTGCTGCGGTATTTGCCTGGCGCCTGCAGGGCCACGCTCTCCTCGTTCTTCGGTACTGACAAGGTCCAAGTGTATGGTGGGCCCACCTGGATCCACTCGTTATCCCTAGAGAACTCGACGACGGGGAAGCCCAGCAGCAGGTGGCAGGCTTCGAACGTCGATGTGGTTCTGCCCTGCAGCGCGGCGTGGGCGGCTTTGTAGACCTGCTGTTTGCCGAGGCCGCCGTCGTTATTGCTGCTGGAGGTGAGGCTCGCGACGATACTTTCCACGCGCTGTTGCGCTTGCTTGTCCTGCTCCGATTTCATGGCATAACCGAGGATGTAGCGGCTCGCGCTGGTGAGCTCGCAGATGACCTGGAGGTCCATGCTAGCCCGCCACCGCCGAAGGATCTTGATGTTGTACTGCCCCATCATGCTGTCCGACTGAACCCGCCTCGTCGCCAAGCTACTTTTCCAGCGGCTGTTGGCATACCTCTCCTGGGAGGTACGGCGCCTGGTCCGCGTTTCTGCGGTGTGCGGGAAGCCGTGGCGGCAGGCGCCGTGCGACTTGATTCCACAGTACTCGGAGTGGTGGTGCACTAACAGCTCGGCCAACTTGGCGTTCACCTCGATGTCTCGGGACGAGAGTTTCTTGGATTGCCTCCACGTGAAAGGGGATTTGGTGCAAATGTACTTGTCGCTCCAGTCTTCCGCACAGCTGGGAGTGAAGGACTGCATGACCTCATCATCCGACCAGTCGGGAGCTTGCGGCTCGTGACCGGATCTGTCCTCGGAAGACATCTTTGCTGCCCGAGTTGGCTTCTCAAGTTCCATCACCCAGAGTAGGATGTGAGCGTGCGGATAGCCTCTCTTCTGCCATTCGATGCGGATGATGTAGTCCAGCACCCTGAACGGTGGCGCTCCCTTGAAAACTTTTCGGTGTTGGCCTGCAGAGTCCATGGCCGGCGCCTGGAGAAAGTCGTCCTCGTCTTCGGCCGCAGGATCGTCCTCGGCATCCACATCTTGGTCGAGGCGCGTCGTTGTTGCTTCGTGCTTGGCGGACAGCCAGTGCATCAGCTGGGTTACTTGATGCATGAACTGACGAGCCACAACGGCGGGATGCTGATTGCACAGCTGGTTCGGGGACAGACCGTCCCAGGTGAACTTCTCGTCGGCTTGGTAGCACTGCAGGATCTGAGCGGCTTCTCTCTCGATCTCTTGTGGCGGTTTCGCAGGACGCAGCCGAAGCAGCCGTGCCATGATGACGGCGATCAGGATGTCGGGCTGTCGGGCATGGCACGACAGGGTCATGAAGAATTTGGGCGCTCCGAGCTGCTCGTACATGTTGACCGCGACGCCCTTCTTTGCGAAGACGTACGAGCTGGTTCCAGGGATGTCCCGGAGAGCCGCGAACACTCGTCCTTTCCCGTCCTTGTACTTGGTCTTCTCGCTGGGGCCTTCCTGGCCTATCCTGACATTCACGTTGCCCGAGAGGCGCTTCTTGATGTGCATCTCCAGCAGCCACATGATGTAGCCGGCGGACGCCTCGAAGCGTGGGTCGAGATTCAGGAGACGCTTTCGCGCATATTGAGAGAAGCTGCCGTACTGGTCCTGCCACCCGCCCTGGCCGGTGGGAAACAGGTGCGGAAAGAGCTTCACGTCCATGTCGTCGCACATCGCTGATATGCCCCTGGCCTTTCGTAGCTCGTGTGTGTCGGCTCGGGGAGCCTTTAGGTCTTTGGGAAGCATGTATGTCACTTCGAGCTCTTCCGATTCTCTTTCGGCCGGTGACACAGGCGCTGCTGCTGCAGCATCGTCCTTGGCGGTGGGCGCTTTGCCATGGAGAATTGCAGCCATATCGTCCAGGGCTTTGTCCACAGCCGGGCTCGCCTGGTAGAGGCGGTGCTGGGATTTCAGCTGCCGCAAGGCTTGGTACAGGTGGTCGAGGCGGGCCGGCGAAGCGGTCATGCCTTGGACTCCCTCCACTAGGACCGTGCCATCTTCTTCGAGCGTTGCGCCATCCAGCACGTCGCAGATGAAAGGCTCGTCGACCAGCATTGCATACATGCGGCCCCACTGCGCACTTGGCCCGCCGGAAGGAAGCTTGTCAAGCAGGACTTGAGAGATTCGCGCCATGGCGAGCAGGTGATGCTCGATCGGCTGCAGGCTCTGGAGCGCTTCTGGGATGGGTGGTGGAGTGGGCAAGAAGATCTTGGTGACATTCTCCCGACAGTTCCTGCAGAGCATGTTGCCGGTTTGCTTCGCCGGCCTGCAATGCTTCGCGGTTGTGAGAGTGTGACATGCTTCACACACCCTGGACAATCCGAATCGACTCCAGCTTCGCGTAAAAGCCAAGTAGTGGGCTTGCGCTTGCTCCGAGGTCAGCACATCTTCATCCGGGAACGGGTAGCCCCGCTGTTGGGCCTCTGTGGCGATCGGCAAAGGACCACGGCTGCCAAGTCCTTCTTCTGCGCGTTGAGCTTGAAGTTGTCGTCCCTGCGCCCGCCTGCTGTCCTCCGTGGGTACAGGCCCGCGGCTGCCAAGTCCTTCTTCTGCGCGTTGAGCTTGAAGTTGTTGTCCCTGCGCCCGCCTGCTGTCCGCCGTGGGTACAGGCCCGCGGCTGCCAAGTCCTTCTTCTGCGCGTTGAGCTTGAAGTTGTTGTCCCTGCGCCCGCCTGCGGTCCTCCGTGGGTACAGGCCCGCGGCTGCCAAGTCCTTCTTCTGCACGTTGAGCTTGAAGTTGTTGTCCCTGCGCCTGTCTGCTTTTCTCCGTGGGCAAAGGCCCGCGGCTGCCAAGTCCTTCTTCTGCACGGTCAGCTTGAAGTTGTTGCCTCTGGGCCCGAGTGCTGTTTGCAACAGGCACAGGTCCACGGCTGCCCGCTCCTTGCGCAGCACGTTTCTGCTGTTGAGCACTCTTCTCCTCGCTCTTCCGGCGGAGGTTCTCCTCTTTCTGAGCTTCGCGGCACTGTCGATTGCTGCACCATCCTTTTCCTCGGCCTTGCATTGGCCAGCCACACCGTGGGCAAGGCGCCATCCTAACGAATTGCGACAAGGCGGTTCCTAAGCTCAGCTAAGGCTGTATCCGCACGGCTGCGATCAAATCTCAAGCATGTTCCATCAGCGAGCAAATTAATCAAACGAAGAACAGCACAAAATCTTTTCAGGAACAGGTGATTCCAGACTGGATCACCGTCTATTGAGTCTACAAGCCATGTCATTGACCGATGCAGGACTGAGATGCAACGACAGCTCAAACCGGCCGTGTCCAGACTGCCGTATCCCTTGCTGCAGCGCTCGCTCCTTTTTGCGTTTGTTGCTGCTCGCGTTTGGAGCTCTAGCGGTCTGTGGCTTGCTTTGACATGTAGACAACTTGCACGTCCACGACCTCGTCGTGGAAGCTGCGGTCCAGGAGTTCGCGCCAGCTCCAAGCGTCGCTGATCACGTCTCCGTCCAAAACCAGTTGCGTGCCTTCGATGGGAATGGGTCCTGCAGGACTGCTGTCCAAGTCCAACAGCAAGACCTCTCTGGTGCTGCGATGCTGCAGCGTTTCCGGCGGGATGGGCTTCATGGTCTTCTGAAATTTGACACGTAGTTCTTGCAGGGATAGGCAGCGATCGGGGTTGTTGCCCTCGTGCAGCTGGGCGAGCCAAGCTTCCCGGAAAGATCCGGGCGGTTCGAGTTGGCAGAGCAGGCGATAAGGCTTCGAGGAATGGATCTCGGCACCCTGCATGTTCAGGTACCTCACCGTCAGGTCAGCAAGACGCTCGCTGAACTCCCTCTGCATCTCCATCTCTTTGTTCCATCTTGTTCCTCCACGTGCATCTTCCTCGGCGTCGTGCTGCATTTCTGCGTCGACCCAGTCCCAACAATCGAAAGGGTCCTCGCAGTCCTCCAGGTCGGAGCCCCGAATCGAGTGGTCTGAGCTTCTGGAACCCTCGCCCATGTTCTCGGACATCTCTGTTGCGCCGGTCGATCTCAGAAACAAGGGCTGTGGGCATGATCTTAGGCACTCGCTGTTGTGACGACTGAGATTCCAGCCGTAAGCGCCTACCTATAGGCCGAAGCTCGGACACAGAGCAGGACTACGACTCTTCACATTGAGCCCACGCGAGCGGAACTAACTCGGCTTGTCATGCATACCGAGCACTTGCACACAGTGTGCACTGTTGCAGAATTTACTTAATGGGGGAGTGTCATTAGAGCATGAGCAGGCACCTGGTACCCCCTTTTGGTTGAGGATAAGCGAGCCACTTCTGCATGCGAGCCCTCCGGCCTCGTCCCGTCTCTGTCTTTCTTCAGGTTGAAGATAAGCACCTGGTGCCCCATATTGGTTGAGGATAAGCGCACCACCTCTCCATGCGAGCCCTCCGGCCTTGTCCCTTGCCTTCGTCTTCTTTCAGGTTGAGTATAAGCACCTGGGAGACCATATTGGTTGAGGATAAGCAACCACTTCTGCATGCGCCTCCGTCTTCTTCAGGTTGAGACCACGCACCTGGGACCCCATGTTGGTTGAGGATAAGCGCTCCGGCCTTGTCCCCGCCTCCGTCTTCTTCAGGTTGACACCACGCACCGGGGACCCCATATTGGTTGCTTGTCCCCGCCTCCGTGTTCTTCGGGCTGAGACCACGCACCTGGAACCCCATATTGGTTGAGGATAAGCGCTCCGGCCTTGTCCCCGCCTCCGCACAATGCTGCTTGAGGATAAGCGTGGCGGCTGCACCTCTTCGCCTGGCACCGGATAAGCGTGGCGGCTGTACCCCCTGGCCCCTATTCTGGTTGAGGATAAGCGTGGCGGCTGCGCCTCTTCCTCCTGGCCCCCATTCTGGTTGAGGATAAGCGTGGCGGCTGCACCTCTTCGCCTGGCACCGGATAAGCGTGGCGGCTGTACCCCCTGGCCCCTATTCTGGTTGAGGATAAGCGTGGCGGCTGCACCTCTTCCCCCTGGCCCCTATTCTGGTTGAGGATAAGCGTGGCGGCTGCGCCTCTTCGCCTGGCACCGGATAAGCGTGGCGGCTGTACCTCCTGGCCCCTATTCTGGTTGAGGATAAGCGTGGCGGCTGCGCCTCTTCCCCCTGGCCCCCATTCTGGTTGAGGATAAGCGTGGCGGCTGCACCTCTTTGCCTGGCACCGGATAAGCGTGGCGGCTGTACCCTCTGGCCCCTCTTCTGGTTGAGGATAAGCGTGGCGGCTGCGCCTCTTCCCCCTGGCCCCCATTCTGGTTGAGGATAAGCGCGGCGGCTGCACCTCTTCGCCTGGCACCGGATAAGCGTGGCGGCTGTACCCCCTGGCCCCTATTCTGGTTGAGGATAAGCGTGGCGGCTGCGCCTCTTCCCCCTGGCCCCCTTTCTGGTTGAGGATAAGCGTGGCGGCTGCACCTCTTCGCCTGGCACCGGATAAGCGTGGCGGCTGTACCCCCTGGCCCCTATTCTGGTTGAGGATAAGCGTGGCGGCTGCGCCTCTTCCCCCTGGCCCCCATTCTGGTTGAGGACAAGCGTGGCGGCTGCACCTCTTCGCCTGGCACCGAATAAGCGTGGCGGCTGTACCCCCTGGGCCCCTATTCTGGTTGAGGATAAGCGTGGCGGCTGCGCCTCTTCCCCCTGGCCCCCATTCTGGTTGAGGATTCGCCTGGCACCGGATAAGCGTGCGGCTGTACCCCCTGGCCCCTATTCTGGTTGAGGATAAGCGTGGCGGCTGCGCCTCTTCCCCCTGGCCCCCATTCTGGTTGAGGATAAGCGTGGCGGCTGCGCCTCTTCCCCCTGGCCCCCATTCTGGTTGAGGATAAGCGTGGCGGCTGCACCTCTTCGCCTGGCACCGAATAAGCGTGGCGGCTGTACCCCCTGGGCCCCTATTCTGGTTGAGGATAAGCGCGGCGGCTGCGCCTCTTCCCCCTGGCCCCCATTCTGGTTGAGGATTCGCCTGGCACCGGATAAGCGTGGCGGCTGTACCCCCTGGCCCCTATTCTGGTTGAGGATAAGCGTGGCGGCTGCGCCTCTTCCCCCTGCCCCCATTCTGGTTGAGGATAAGCGTGGCGGCTGCACCTCTTCGCCTGGCGCCGGATAAGCATGGCGGCTGTACCCCCTGGCCCCTATTCTGGATAAGCGTGGCGGCTGCGCCTCTTCCCCCTGGCCCCCATTCTGGTTGAGGATAAGGGTGGCGGCTGCACCTCTTCGCCTGGCACCGGATAAGCGTGGCGGCTGTACCCCCTGGTCCCTATTCTGGTTGAGGATAAGCGTGGCGGCTGCGCCTCTTCCCCCTGTCCCCCATTCTGGTTGAGGATAAGCGTGGCGGCTGCACCTCTTCGCCTGGCACCGGATAAGCGTGACCCCCTGGCCCCTATTCTGGTTGAGGATAAGCGTGGCGGCTGCGCCTCTTCCCCCTGGCCCCCATTCTGGTTGAGGATAAGCGTGGCGGCTGTCTTCGCCTGGCACCGGATAAGCGTGGCGGCTGCTATTCTGGTTGAGTATAAGCGTGGCGGCTGCGCCTCTTCCCCCTGACCCCCATTCTGGTTGAGGATAAGCGTGGCGGCTGCACCTCTTCGCCTGGCACCGGCTAAGCGTGGCGGCTGTACCCCCTGGCCCCTATTCTGGTTGAGGATAAGCGTGGCGGCTGCGCCTCTTAAGCGTGACGACTGTGCCTCCTGGCCCCCGTTCCGGTTGAGGATAAGCGTGGCGGCTGTGCCTCTTTGCTTCGCCCCGGGTAAGCGTGGCGGCTGTGCCTCCTGGCCCCCATTCTGGTTGAGGATAAGCGTGGCGGCTGCACCTCTTCGCCTGGCACCGAACTAGCGTGGCGGCTGTCGTCCCTGGCTTGCGTTCCTCAGGTTAAGACCACACACCTCGGAACCCACATTGGTTAAGGATAAGCGCTCCGGCCTCGTCCCCGCCTCCGCTTTCCCTGAAACCCCATATTGGTTGAGGACAAGCACTCCGGCCTCGTCCGTGCCTTCGCCGTCTACTCAGCTTAAAACCGTGCACCTGAAACCCCATCTTGGTTGAGGATAAGTGCTCCGGCCTCGTCCCTGCCTCCGCTTTCCCTGAAACCCCATATTGGTTGAGGACAAGCACTCCGGCCTCGTCCGTGCCTTCGCCGTCTTCTCAGCTTAAAACCGTGCACCTGAAACCCCATCTTGGTTGAGGATAAGCGCTCCGGCCTCGTCCCCGCCTTCGCCTTCCTCGGCTTGAGACCATGCACCCGAGACTTAAGCGCTCCGGCTTCGTCCCCGCCTGTGCCGTCTTCTCAGCTTCAGACCAAGCACCTGAAACCCCATCTTGGTTGAGGATAAGCGCTCTGGCTTCGTCCCCGCCTCCGCCTTCCCTGAAACCCCATATTGGTTGAGGACAAGTGCTCCGGCCTCGTCCCCGCCTCCGCCGTCTTCCTCGGCTTGAGACCATGCACCCGAGACTTAAGCGCTCCGGCTTCGTCCCCGCCTGTGCCGTCTTCTCAGCTTCAGACCAAGCACCTGAAACCCCATCTTGGTTGAGGATAAGCGCTCTGGCTTCGTCCCCGCCTCCGCCTTCCCTGAAACCCCATATTGGTTGAGGACAAGTGCTCCGGCCTTGTCCCCGCCTCCGCCGTCTTCTCCGCTTAAAACCGTGTACCTGACAACCCATCTTGGTTGAGGATAAGCGCTCCGGCCTCGTCCCTACCTCCGCCGTCTTCTCAGCTTCAGACCAAGCACCTGAAACCCCATCTAGGTTGAGGATAAGCGCTCCGGCTTCGTCCCCGCCTCCGCCGTCTTCTCAGTTTCAGACCAAGCACCTAAAACCCCATCTTGGTTGAGGATAAGCGCTCCGGCTTCGTCTCGGCCTCCGGCGTCTTCTCAGCTTCAGATCAAGCACCTGAAACCCCATCTTGGTTGAGGATAAGTGCTCCGGCCTCGTCCCCGCCTCCGCCGTCTTCGGGTGGAGACCACGCACCTGGGAGCCCATATTGGTTGAGGACAAGGCTTCCCGGCTTCGTCCCTGCCTCCGCCTTCTTCGGGTTGAGACCACACACCTGAGAGCCCATGTTGGTTGAGGATAATTTCTCCGGCCTCGTGGAGCCCATATTGGTTGAGGATAAGCGCTCCGGCCTCGTCCCCGCCTCGGCCGTTTTCTCAGCTTAAAACCATGCACCTGAAACCCCATCTTGGTTGAGGATAAGTGCTCCGGCCTCGTCCCGGCCTCCGCCGTCTTCTCGGCTTGAGACTACACACCTGACACCCCATCTTGGTTGAGGATAAGTGCTCCGGCCTCGTCCCCGCCTCCGCCGTCTCCTGCTTGAGAACCTGAAGCTCCGTCTTGGTTGAGGATAAGTGCTCCGGCCTCGTCCTCGCCTCCGCCGTCTTCTGCTTGAGATCCCACGCCTCGGAACCCCTTATTGGCTGGGGTTACGCCCTCCCGGCCGTGTCCTTGCATCCATCTCGTTCAGCTTGAGCTCTCACGCCTTGCAACCTTATATTGGTTGAGGATAAGCCCTCCCGTCCTTGTCCTCGCCTCCGTCTTCTTCAGCCTGAGCTTCCAGATCTCGGAACCCCATATTGGTCGAGGATAAGCCCTCCCGGCCGTGTCCTTGCTTCTGTCTTCTTCAGGCAAGCCTCGCAATCCCATCGTGCTTGCAGATAATGTCACCGGACACTGACGTAAGACGATCTATGTATTCTCGCAACTCACCTTTCTTCCCGTGTTATTGCTGTGTCACGTGTGAAACAATGTCCTTCAGCTAGGTGTCCTACGGCGAATGTGTTCTCTGATCATTATCAGAGCTTCGGCCGCGCGCTCGACCACAATCTTTGTTGCTTCGAATTTCCGTCTCAGGAGTTCCTCCTGCTTCTGCTTCCGGAGCTCTGTCCTCTCCTTCTGCTTCTTCTTCTTCTCGAAAGCCCGAAGGTTCGCGATGCAGAGACGGATGGTCTTCTTGGTGTTTCTCGGAAGCCCTTGTAGATCCTGGACTGAAAAGTATTGGAGTCGCCGGCCAAAGTCGAAGTCGTCTGTGGCTCTCGAAGCCAGCATCGGGTACCTGGAGAGTGCACCGATCAGCGCTAGGTGTCCTAGCCTCAGTGCCCAATCCGAGCGTCTCGTGAACTGCGAAATGGCCAGCTTCAGGTTGTGGGGTAGACGTGTCCATTTCTTTGCTGCCGTCCGGCAAGTGCAGTTTAAGGCGCTGAAAAGTACCGGTGTATCCATCGCGTCGAGCTGTCGTGAACTACTGGTTTCTATCGCACGCCTGAGCCCCAGTTGCAGCTGTGCCACAGGCTCGCTTGCCTCCCTTTCAAAGCCACCGGTCCATGATCCGACTAGTCTGGAACATGCGTGCATAGCTGACTGTGCGATCTCTTCATCACGACGACTTGTGAAGTGTACGCCTATCCCGGCCTTGTCTTTGTGAATTTGAGGCCTCGCGCTTGGGAACATGCACCTGGGACCGCATATTCTTTGAGGATACGCCCTCCAGTCTCGTCCCGGCCTCGTTCTTCTTGAGGTTGAAGTCTCGTGCCTGGGAGCATGCACCTGGGACACCATATTGGTTGAGGACAAGCGCTCCGGCCTCGTCCCCGCCTCCGCCGTCTTCTCAGCTTAAAACCATGCACCCGACACCCCATCTTGGTTGAGGATAAGCGCTCCGGCCTCGTCCCTACCTCCGCCGTCTTCTCAGCTTCAGACCAAGCACCTGAAACCCCATCTTGGTTCAGGATAAGCGCTCCGGCCTCGTCCCCGCCTCCACCGTCTTCTCAGCTTAAAACCACGCACCTGAGACCCCATATTGGTTGAGGACAAGTGCTCCGGCCTCGTCCCCGCCTCCGCCGTCTTCTCAGCTTCAGACCATGCACCTGACACCCCATCTTGGTTGAGGATAAGCGCTCCGGCCTCGTCCCCGCCTCCGCCGTCTTCTCGGCTTGAGACCACGCACCTGAGACCCCATCTTGGTTGAGGATAAGCGCTCCGGCCTCGTCCCCGCCTCCGCCGTCTTCTCAGCTTCAGACCAAGCACCTGAGACCCCATATTGGTTGAGGATAAGTGCTCCGGCCTCGTCCCCGCCTCCGCCGTCTTCTCAGCTTCAGACCAAGCACTTGAAACCCCATCTTGGTTGAGGATAAGCGCTCCGGCCTCGTCCCTACCTCCGCCGTCTTCTCAGCTTCAGACCACGCACCTGACACCCCATCTTGGTTGAGGATAAGCGCTCCGGCCTCGTCCCCGCCTTCGCCTTCTTCGGCTTGAGACCACGCACCTGAGACCCCATCTTGGTTGATGATAAGCGCTCCGGCCTCGTCCCCGCCTCCGCCGTCTTCGGCTTGAGACCACGCACCTGAGACCCCATCTTGGTTGATGATAAGCGCTCCGGCCTCGTCCCCGCCTCCGCCGTCTTCTCAGCTTCAAACCATGCACCTGACACCCCAACTTGGTTGATGATAAGCGCTCCGGCCTCCGCCGTCTTCTCAGCTTCAGACCAAGCACCTGAAACCCCATCTTGGTTGAGGATAAGCGCTCCGGCCTCGTCCCCGCCTTCGCCTTCTTCGGCTTCTGGGCTGCTGATCTCGAATCCCACAGTGGTTGAGGATAAACGTTCCAGCCTCGTTCCGGCGGCCTTCTTCGGGCTGGGACCGCGGACCCCGAGCCCCATAGCGCTCTGGCCTTGCTTCCGGAGTACCTGCGACGCCGTATTGGTTGAGGATAGGCGAATCTCTCGGCATGCGAGCCTTCGGGACTCGTCCGTGTCTCCGCCTCCAACGTTGTTCCCGCTGAGACTGAGCACCTGTATGCCCGACTGCGACATGATGGAGGAGCGCGGCCGCATGTGATGCACCAGGCCCTCCTTGCACCTTTTTGCCTCGCCTAGGTGAGTGAAGCTCGAGCCGTTCAGCGCATTGCGCAGTCTAAAACTACTCTGGTGACACTAAAACGTTCTCTCTCGCCGCGAGCCGCCGTCCACTCCACCAGATCGTTCTTGAAGAAGAAGATTGTATGAGCACGTCCCAGCCGTCGTCGAGGAGCTGGAATGCCGTCTTGGCGTCTGCTGGCAAACGCGAGCAACGGTCCAGTGCAACCGGTTCCTGCCGGATGCAGCAGGCCCTCTTCCTCGCCGCCGTCCTCGTAGGTGAGGTAGAGTTCCATCGTGCCCTCATGCTGCTTGGCACTCCGTGCGCAGAGAAGCTTCATCGGTTCGTCGCGCCTCCAGACTCGGAAGTGGATTTCCGTATAGCCTGAGCGAAGGAACTCACGGGCGTCGAGGAGGGCTTGTCGAAGTAGGTTCACGTCGCTGTACTGGACGCGATCCTCTGGCAGCTCCACGTCGTCGCTGACGATGTATCGCCCTGAAGACTGCTCTGACAACATGGCGGGGTCCTGTTGGACACTGCGCAGGTCTCGGCGAGCCTTGTCGCTCTTGGGCAAGTTCTCTTGGGCAACAGCTTCGCGTGTCGACACACATAGCTCTTTGCACAACCAGGCCCCTGAGACTGCGATTGGTTGGGGATAAACCCTCTGGCCTTGGCCCGAGTCTCGTTTCCTTCGGGTTGAGACCGCGCACCTGGGACTACGCACTTCTTCAGTTTGAGCTTCCGCACCTCGGAACCCCATATTGGTTGAGGATAAGCCCTCCCGGCCTCGTCCTTACCTCTGTCTTCTTCAGCTTGTGCTTCCACACCTCGGAAGCCCCATATTGGTTGAGGATAAGCCCTTCCACACCTCGGAACCCCATATTGGTTGAGGATAAGCCCTCCCGGCCTCGTCCTTGCCTCTGTCTTCCGCGCCTCGGAAACCCATAATGGTTGAGGATAAGCCCTCCCGGCCTCGTCCTTGCCTCTGTCTTCTTCATCTTGAGCTTCCACACCTCGGGAATTCCATATTGGTTGAGGATAAGCCCTCCCGGCCTCGTCCTTGCCTCTGTCTTCTTCCGCTTGAGCTTCCACACTCCCGTGTCTTCTTCCGCTTGAGCTTCCACACTCCCGGCCTCGTCCTTGCCTGTGACTTCTTCGGCGAGCTTCCACACCTCGGAAACACATATTGGTTGAGGATAAGCCCCTCGAAACCTATATT